GCATCATCATCATAATCATCATCATCATCAGCAGCATCATCATCATCGTAATCAGCATCATCGTCAGAGTCGTGGTCATCACCAGCAGTATCATCAACATCATCAGCAGCATCAGCATGATCAAAATCAGCATCATCATCGTAATCACCAGCATCATATCATCACCAGCATCATCAGCATCATCATCATAATCAGCAGCATCAGCATCATCATTAATATCATCAGCATCATCATCAGCACCATCATCATCCATGGCATCACCATCATTGTCATCCCCATCGACATCAGCATCAGCACTGGCATCATCACCACTGGCACGTAGGCACAACCCTCACACGCTTCGTGGCCCAATAGGAAGTTACACCAAAGAATCCACCAGGAGGGTTCGCATGGCACCACCGCGCCAATGTTGGTGCACACCTCACACGTTTTTGGGCCCGACAGGGAGCCCCACCGAAGACCCAATTGGAGGGTTCGCATGGCGCCGCTGCACCAAATTCGGCACACCCCTCGCACATTTCGTTGCCCCATACAGAGCCCCACCGAAGGCCTCAGTGGCAGGGTGTGCATGGCGCCACCGCACCCATGTCGGCACAGCCCTCATGCGCTTCCTGGCCCCGCACGGAACTACACCGAAGGCCCCAGTGGGAGGGTTCGCATGGCGCCGCCGCAAACATTGCGGCACACCCTCCACACGTTGCGTGGCCCCACAGGGAATTCATCCGAAGACCCCAGTAGGAGGGTTCGCATGGTGCCGCCGCACCCAATTCGGCACACGCCTCACGCGTTTCGTGGCCCCACACGGAGCTCCACCGAAGGCCACAATGGGAGGGTTCGCATGGCGCCGCCGCACCCGTTTCGGCACACCCCTCACACGCTTCGTGGCCTTGAAGATACCAGTGGAAGGGTTCGCATGTCGCCGCCGCGCCCGTTTCGGCACATGCGCTTCGTGGCACCATGGGGAATTTCACCGGGTGCCCCATCGGGAGGGTTCGCATGGCGACGCCAACACCCCTCACGTGCTTCGTGGCCCCATATAGAGAAGCCCACCGAACGTCCCAGTCGAAGGGTCCGCACGGCGCCGCCGCACCCTTTTCGGCTCACCTCTTACGCGTTGGCCCCATAGGGAAGTCCACCGAAGGTACCAGTGTGAGGCCCCGCATGGCGCCGCCGCAACCATTGCGACACACCCCTCACACACTTCGCGGCCCCATAGAGGACTCCACCGAAGGCCTCAGGGGAAGGGCACGCGTGACGCCGCCGCACCCATGTCGGCACAGCCCTTCACACGCTTCGTGGCCCCAGAGGGAGGGCGCGCCACCGAAAACCCAATTGGAGGGTTCGTATGGCGCCGCCGCACACATTGCGACACGCCCCTCACACGTTGCGCGGCCCCACGGGTAATTCGTCCGAAGACCCCAGTGGGAGGGTTCGCATGGCCCAGCAGCACTCATCTCGGCACACCCCTCACGCAGTCCGTGGCCACACGCGGAGCTCCTCGCGCGGCGCAGCCGCACCCGCTTCGGCACAACCCGTACACGTTTCGTGGCCCCGTAGAGAACTCGACCGAAAGTACCAGTGGGAGGGTTTGCATGGCGCCGGCACACGCCTCCGCGCTTCGTGGCACCATGTGGAACCTCACCGGAGGCCCCATTGGGAGGGTTCACACGGCGCAGCCACATCCATTTCGGCACACCCCTAACTTGCTGCGCGGCCCCAAAGGGACCTCCACCGAAGGCCCCAGTGGGAGGGTTCGCATGGCGACGCCAAACCCATTTCGGCAGACCCCACACACGCTTCGTTGCCCCATAGAGCACCCCACCGAAAGTCCCAGTGGGAGCCGCTTGGCGCCGCCGCACCCATGTCGGCACACCCCTCACCTGCGCGGTGGCCCCATAAAGAGCTCCACCGACGGCCCAAATGAAAGGTTCGCAAGGCGCCGCCGCACCCATTGCAGCATACCCTATCACACTTCACGTGGCCCCGTAGGGAATTCCACGGCGCCGCCGCCGCACCCAAACCGGCTTACCCCTCACACGTTTCGCGGCCCCCCTCCTTCGTCTCACCTGCCTCGCGATATTCGCACCTGCATATGGTTGGGCCCTTCGCCAGGATCTCTGTTGTGGTCGACGGCGTCTCAGGTCCGAGTTGCGGCGAGGCTACGCTGGGTCGCATGCGAAGCAAAACGAGACGCAGGCCAACGGAGGCAGGAGGGAAAAGTGGGAGGGAGGGCCGCGGGACGGCTAGAGCACCCGGAGAACGTGAAGCACCTCGGGCCGTGCGAAAGCACGGCCACAAACACGAACAACGGAGAGCGGCACCAGGCCTTGGACTGCAGGGGTGACCAAAGGGCAGCCCCAGGAGCGAAGCTGCAAGCCGCGGAGCTGGCCCCGGCGGCCCAGCAGCGCGCATCTGCTGTTCTCTGTCCCACGCAAAGACGAAGCTCTCCCTGCACGCACGCCACACTGTGGCCTTGACGTTATCCACCGACACCCTGCCTCCCGCGCGGGCCTCCAAGAAACCAAGCCCGCCCGAATCGATGCCAACGTCCTCCTAACATCTTCCGTGAAGGGCTCAAAAAAAGCTCCGAATCTTCGGCCGCCCCAGGAGACTTGGCGGCGCGTAGAGGGGGGTAGGGGGAGGGGGAAACTCTTCTTCGAAGGAGACGGCTTCGTAGAAAGCGGCGTCCCTATATCTACAGGCAAGGCCCGTGCCTTCCAGGAAGCAGCCTCCTTCTAAGAAGCCTTCCCCCTTCCCCCCTCACTCTGTGCGTGTGGCCTAAAGCCCGTCCTGGAACTTTCCTGGGGGCCTCTCGCGCCGTCGTTGGAAGCACCAGGTACCGATCCAAGAGGGCTCAAAATCATTCAAAAGGTCCGCGGCTTCTGCTCGGTTTTCGCACGCCTGGCGTTTGGCCTTCAGGCCCCCCGACAACCCAAGAGGCCCCCAAGACCCACTCAAGAGGGCACGATGACACAACAGAGCTCTCAAGCTGTGATTGCACAATGTTCTCCGCCTAGCTCTAGGACGTGTCTCTGTCGGCTTCCAGAGGTCCAGGAGGCGAGGCGGCTCCCAGGATCGCAAGCGAGGCCCCCAGAGGGGCGCCCCGAAGACGCCCCATAGAGGCCTTCAAGCGGGACCTCCAGGAGGGACCCGAGACGCAAGAGGCCCCAAAGAGGCATCGAAGCGGCCCCCAAGAGACCTCGCGTCCACGACAAAGGCGCGGTGGCAAGATGGGCCCAAGGCCAGCCCCGTAGCGGGCGGAGGGCTGCAGGCGTGCCGAGATTTTACGGATCCCTTGGGCCCCTCTGAGAAATTCCCAAGGGGACCTCGGCTCAACCTGCCGGCCACCCAGAAATCCCCAGCAGGCGGCAGTCAATCGACTCTCCCACCCAAGATTGCCGCAAGGGGGCCTCCAAGACGGCCGAGCTGGCCGAAGATGACCCCAAAGACGGTCCCAAGACGCCTCCGAGACGGCCAAGACGGCTCCAAGAGGGCCTAGAAGGCCACCAGGACGGCCCGAGATGACTCCAAGGTGGCCCAAGATATCCTCCAGACGGCCCAAGTGGCCCCCGAGACCTCCCAAGAGGGCTGCAAGAAGACCTCCTGGAGGACAACGATTTCCCGGTGGAAGTCCTGCAGCTTTCGCGTACTTGCCCCTGCGGGCTTCGGACCGCCGACGAGGACCAGCTCTCCTGGGGCACGATCCGAGCGAGTGCTCTGTTGGCATGGACGGGGGAACGCTGTGCGGGATCCCCGACTGAAGCCATAGGCTCAAATCTCTAGCGGAAGGGGTGTGATCCGCGCGAGGGGTGTGCCGAAGTCCGTGGGGGAAGCTGCGCGAATTCCCACAGTAAGGCCCTGGGTGGAGCTCTGAGACAGAGGCGATCCGCGTGAGGGGCGTGCCGAAAATGCGCAAGAAAACGCGACGCGTGTTTCCCCGCCGAGGCCTTCTTGCCTTCTTGCCTTTTCGGCCTCAGATGCGCTGCGTAAAACATACTGATGTCCCCAAGCTGGCCCTGGAGAGCCCCAAGAGTGACCCAGGAGGACCCCAAGAGTACCCCAAGAGGGTCCAAAAGGGCCCCGAGAAGGCATCGAGAGGTGGACCGCCCATAACCCCCCAGAAACACAGTCTGGGAATCAACCCGCATCCCGCCCCACGCTGCCCCGAAACCCGGGCAGCCCCCTCAAGGTCGCTCAGCCTACCTTCAAGAGGCCACTGAGAGGCCCCCGAGAGACCCCTCGAGACACCCATAAGAGGCCGCCTCAAGAGGCAACGCGACAATCGTGCAACCCTCCGGCCAAGCCACCCTGCTGCATCGCAACGCTGGTTCCCCCCAAGTGGCGCAATGTCTCCAATCACGTGAGTAGTTGCTGAGTCAGACCGCATTGCCGTAAACATTGCTTGGGGTCGCTAAGCCTTCACCTGCTTCGAAGAATGGATTGGGGGAGGGAGGGCATGGGAGGGAAGGAAAGGGGAGGGGAGGGGAGGGCGAGAAAAACAAATTACATCGCAAGCACGATGGCGGGGTAGACCGCAACCCAATGGAATTCTGTCGTGAGACTCCTACTTTGGGGCGTCCGGCCCTCAAAAACCGTGTGGACTGCAAGCCCCCCCACTGTCTTCTCGTTCGCCCATGTCTGCATGACTTGCCTCAGCGGGTTGCTGCTGCGCACACGCACGACGACGACGACGACGACGACGACGACGACGACGACGCCGCCGCCGCCGCCGCCGCCGCCGCCGCCGCCGCCATCGCCGACGACGACGACGACGACGACAACGACGACGACGACGATGACAACGGCGACAACGACGACAACGACGACGACGACGACAACGACGACGACGACGACGACGACGACTGGCGACGACGACGACGACGACGATCGACGACGACAATTTCGAACATCTCGGCTACTTTACCCTCTCGGCGGCCTCGTGAGGCGGAGGACGACGACGGCAGTCGACGACGATCGATGACGACACCACTCGCACCCGCTCCTGGAAGCCGCAGATCGAGGCTGGTAAATCCCCCTTGAGGTTCTGGCCTCGGCCGCGGCACGGCCCCTCCCCTCTCCGAGTTCCACCGTACAGGATCAGGGGCGGTAGAATCGGAACCCTCCATCGCAGTCATCCCCCAACTGCTTTCTCCTCCTCATCATCATCGTCATCATATTCCTACTCCTGCTCCTCCTGCTCCTGCTCCTGCTCCTCCTTCTCCTCCCCCCTCTCCTCCTCCTCCCCCTCCTCCTCCTGCTCCTCCTGCTCCTCCTCCTCCTCCTCCTCCTCCTGCTTGTCCTCCTCCTCCTCCTCCTGCGTATCCTCTTGCTCCTCCTGCTCCTTCTCCACCAACTCCTCCTCCTATTCCTCCTCATCCTCACATTCATCCTCCTCCTCCGAGGGCTGCCGAGGATAACTAGACTCATCTCGTTCCTGTGTAATCTGTTCTAGGGATCCGCCGACCCTGTCGGCCTGTGGAAGAAGCTCTGTCATTCGTCGCTGTTTCATTCGTCGTCGTCGTCGTCGTCGTCATCGCCGTCGCTGTCGCCATTCCAGGCTTTCTCCTGGGTTTTCTTCTCCAACGCGCCAGCCGGTGCCTCTCTTACCCTGGGCCTTTCTCTTCAAGCGTGCTAACTAAAACGACAATAGCGAACGTCGCAACTCATTCAAAGAGAAGCCGCTTCCCCTGATCCCTTCCCCACGGGAGGGGGAGGGCCGAGGGGCGGGTCCCGGTTCTGGGTCAGAGTGCCATTTCCGTCGCCGTTCATCCCTTGTCCTCTGCCCTCCTTGTTCGAGCTCAAGATCGCCCAAAAACGCTCCAACAGCGCTCCAAGAGCGCCCCAAGAGGCGATCTTTGGGGCTCACGGGGGAGGGCCTTGATTCAGGACTGTCCTACAAGATGGCCCCAAGAGTGCCTCTGAGGATCCCAAGAGCGCCCAAAGAGGGCCCATGGAGGCGCCCAGACGGATCCAAGAGGTGCTCAACATCCTCGTCGTCCTCGTCGTCGCCGTCTTCAGGGTCAGCGACACAGCCGTAAGGCCTTCGCAACAGGCACAGCATTAAAGTTCCACGCTGAAGGGCCCCTTAACGCACACATTCAGTAATGCCCCCATCGAGAAAAGGAGCCTCCATCCTCTCTCATCGTCGTCCTCACTCCTTCTCCTCCCTCCGCCTCCGCCTCCGCCTCCACCTCCTCGTCATCATCATCATCCTCCTCATCACCACCACCACCACCACCACCACCACCATCATCATCATCATCATCATCATCATCATCATCATCAGCATCAGCATCATCATCATAATCAGAATCAACATCATCATCAGCAGCAGCATCCTCATCATCCTCATCATCCTCTTCATCATCATCATCACCACCACCACCACCACCATCATCATCATCATCATCATCATCATCATCAGCATCATCATCATCATCAGCATCATCATCATCATCATGATAATCAACATTATAATCACCATCAGTATCATCAACATCATCATCAGCAGCAGCATCAACAGCATCATCAACATCAGCAGCATCACCATTATCAACATCAGCATAATCACCACCTTCATCATCACCATCACCATCATCATCATCATCATCATCATCATCATCATCATCATCATCACATGTGTCATCGTCATCGTCGTCATCATCATCATCATCATTATCATCACCATCATCATCAGCAGCAGCACCATCATCATCGGCAGGTGAATCTGAATATTCAAAATCCACCGACCCTGTCGGCAAGTGTGGGGTGTCTGTCCGTTCCCGTCGACGGGGAGCCTTCTTTCGCCCCCTCCTTCCCATCCTGCTCATCATCATCCTCATCACCACCACCACCATTATCATCATCATCATCATCATCATCATCATCATCATCATCAGCATCATCATCATCAGCATCAGCATCAGCATCAGCATCATCAACAGCAGCAGTATCAACATCATAATCTTCAAAAAACATCATCGAACTCATCAGCATCGTCAGCATGATGCTCATCATTATACTCACCATACGTATCACAAGCATCATCAGCAGCAGCATCAGCAGCATCATCATCAACATGAGCAGCATCACCAATATGAACATCAGTATGATCCCAGTTATCATCATCATCATCATCATCATCATCATCATCATCATCATCATCATCATCATCATCATCATCATCATCATCAATCAGCATCAATCATCATCAATCATCATCATCATCATCATCATCATCATCATCATCATCATCATCATCATCATCATCATCATCATCGTCATCAAAATCATCTTCACCACCGTCATCATCATCCTCATCATCATCCGCACCATCATCGTCGTCATCACCACCACCATCATCATCACCACCATCATCAGCAGCAACACCGTCATCATCAGCAGGAGAATCTGAATATTCAAAATCCACCGACCCTGTCGGCAAGTGTGGGGTGTCTGTCGTCCCGTCGACGGGGAGCCTTCTTTCGCCCCCTCCTTCCCAACCTCCTCTCCCGTCGGGGGAGAGAGAGAGAGAGAGAGCACCCTTCCTCGTTAGGGGAACGGGTTCGCAGCTTGAGTGAAATCCATCCACGTCCTCATTACGTCAAATGGAAGCCCCTTCCCTGTGTCCCTTCTCCGGCGGGGGAGGAAGGGGGGTTCCAGGAGGGCGGAGGGGGGGTGTTGATCCTATTGATCTTCACGTGTCTTTGCGTCTGCTCCGCTGCCGTTTCGGGCACAAGCTTGCTTGAGGATCGCGCCTGGGGGAGCGCGTGGGAAAACAAGCAAGCTTTCTCGAGAGAGGCCCAGCGGGCCTAGTCGGGGGCCCGGAGGGCCCAGAGGTGAGATCTCGAGGCCCCAGGGGGGCCTCTCCAGAGGTCTCTAGCGACCTTGCGATTGACACAAGCTTGAGCCAGCTCACGGAGTACAGCCATGTCCGACCACGGCGGCGGCGGCGGCCTGAGGGACCACAAGTTCTCGGGGGAAGGCGCCACCGCTGCGCAGGACTACGAGGCTTGGAAGAAGTGGGCGAGAGCGCGGCTCCTGGCCGAGAAGGGGCGCGGCGGGGAGCCCGAGACGTTCGGGCCCATGCTCTACACCCTCCTGGAGGGCATCGCCGTGGACGCGCTGGAGCACGTGGGGCTGGAGGAGTTGGCCGTCGAGAACGGAGAGCAGAGGCACTTCGAAGTTCTGGACTCGCGCTACCCCGAGCAGGAGGCGGCCGACCGGGTCGGCGACGCGCTCGAGTCCGTGTTCGGCCTGAAGATCGAGAAGGCGGAGCTGACGAGTGCCTACGTGGGTCGGGCACAGACCATCTTCCTGAAGGCAAAGAAGGAGGGCGTCCAGATCCCCGACGTCGCCAAGGGCTTCCTCCTCTTGCGAGGGGCTCGTCTCGGTGGGGATCGTCGCGCGGTGGTTCTCGCGGCCAGCGAGCGCCAGTGGACGTTCGATAAGCTGGCGCAGGCGCTGAAGACGGTCTACCCGAGGACGCTGCCAGAGAACGGCGTGCACATGGTCAAGGAGGACCCCGCCTGGGGAGAGGTCGTCGAGGAGCTCAACGGCGCCGAGAGGGTGGACGTCTTCCTGGCGGAGGTCGAGCAGGACCGGGCGGAGCCGCTGGAGGAGGACGAGGCCAACCGAGCGTTGGCGACCGGGAAGGAGACGCGCGTCGCTGTCGCTGAGGAGCGCAAGAAGTGCGGCCTCCCACCTCCTCCGGCACCAGACCTGAAGAAGTTCTCGTCGCGCGTCAGGTGCTGGGGCTGCCGCCAGCTGGGTCACTTCAGCAAGGAGTGCCCCAGGAAGCCCAAGGGAGCTGGTCGGGAGGACGCTCGACCGCGTGGACCACTCGGCCAGAAGTTCGGGACGCACTTCGTCGAGAGCTTTTACGCCGCAGAGGAGGAGGTCAGACCGGACGCGTGGGAGGAGATAGAGGACATCTTGGCAGCCTGGGGCTACCAGAGGCTGGCTGCACGAGCACCATACAGAGGACCCTTCAAGCGTCTCAAGGAGGAGATCCAGGGCGACGACGAGCAGCTGGAGGCGCCCCTGGCGCACTCGCTGGGATCGGGCGTCATCGACCCAGGCTGCGCGCGCGCAGATCGGCGAGGAGACGCTGGAGGAGCACCGGAGGTGGACACTTTCAAGGGGTCCAGCGGCGAGGAGCAGCACTCCGTCGGGGTCTGCACCACCCCGTGAACCATCGGCGAGCACGCGGAGCCCATCGAGGTGCACGTGGTTCCTGGAGGCGCGGGGCTCTTGCTGAGCAAGCCGCTGCCGAAGAGATGGGATGCCTGCTCGACATGGAGAACAACCAGCTCATCATCAGGACCTCGGGGGCTCGGGCGCAGTTGCAGACGACGAAGGGTGGCCACTACGAGTTTCCCCTTGATGGCTCGACGGTGACTCCACTCGTGGATCGGGATTTTCAAGAGGGCCGGGCCGCAGCCCTCAGGCCCCTGCGACTTCTCCCGCAGCTTTGGCAGTCGTCCAGGCAGCTGAGGAGGGAGTGCCGGTCATCATGGGGATCTTCTCTCCACCGAGGCTGACCAAGAGGGCGACTGAGTTCGGGTTCGTGGACGGCGGGGCCTACGACTTGGAGACGGGTTGGAACGCTCGCCAGCGCGAGCACGTGGAGCAGCTGTTCCGCGACCTGGAGGAGAAGGACCCGTTCGTCGTCGCGTTGACGCCACCCCGCGGGAAGTTGTCGCCGCTTCAGGGGCCCACGCCAGAGGAGAAGCGGAGGGGCCCGGAGAAGTTCAAGGAGGGGCGAGCGGAGGCCATCTCGTTCATCGCGCTGCGCTTGGAGATTGCGACGTGGCAGGTAATGCGGGGCAGACATTACATTTTCGAGCAGTCGAGGGCAAGTTCAGCACGGGGGTTGCAGGAGATGGCCACCTTCTTGATCGATGAATCCCCCTACGTGGCGGAGGCTGCGGCATGCAGGTTCGGCAAGGGCGATTTGGCGTCAGGTTTGACTCTGGCCAAGCGCTGGCGCTTCATGTCGGACATGCCCGAAGTGGTGAAGGAGGTGGATCGCCAGTACCTCGGGGGCC